ATTGATTTTTATTTAAATGATTGATTTTTATTTTCCTGAAAAACAAGACAAAAATATTGATTAAAATATTTTTGCTAGTTTATGCAATAAAGCATAGAATAAAAAAATATGGATAAATAATAAGGAATACAATTAAGGCCACAAAACAAAACTAATCTCTCAAAATGAAGTCAAAAATCCTTAAATCAACATATCTGAATTTGTTAATTATTAAGAATAAACATTTATAATATTATATAATATAATATCAAAAAAAATAAAATATTAAGATTTTGTATTATATATATATAAAACAAAAAACATAAATACTGACTAAAATGTTTTGCAAGTTTATGCAATAACTAATGCAATAAAAGTGATAAGCTAATAAGGAATAAAGGCCACAAAACACCCATTTTAATTCCATGGGGTCTTAAAGGAACATCAGTCGTCTTAGTGCACTTCTGTATTTTTCTCTGTATTTGCGACCATTTGTTTAAAAAAGTTTGTGTTAATAATATCTTTGGGTTTTAAAGGCAACTGCCATCACCCACACAGTGGGAATAAGCAAACTGTGCAGCATCATGGCTGTAGACAATGAGGAGATCGTTCTGGCCACTGCAAACCTGTTCCAGTGTGTCTATGACTCCCTGTCTGGCGGAGACAAGAGAAATTACGGAAAAGAAGAGGCCCTTGTACTCGGTAAGAGAATCTGAGCAAATGTGAATTCAGAGTAACATTACTGAAGATTGTAATAATTGGACCTGATTTGCAATTGAGTTAAAACTGCAAACACATTTCTTGCTTTCTTGCTCTTGTCTGATGACTGGCAGACTCCAGTAAGGACTTGAAGGATATTCTGCTTGCCTTGTTGGAGATGATCACAAGCAAGAAGGTGTCTGGACACGGCCGAGACCAGGCCCTGAACCTCCTGTCCAAGAATGTGCCAAGGAAAGACAAGAAAAACACAGATAACACCAAAGCCCTTTTCACCATTGACCATGGTATGTTATTCATCATTACAGTATGAAGAAATAGATTTTTTTTTCTGTCAAAAACAATCATTGGGTCTCATTCACTAATAATTGCATGGATTATTTC